TTCCCTCTTCTTCTCCCCCTTCTCCCAGGGTACCACTCCTCTGTCTTCCATGTGAGTATGGGGGGCCTAGGCTAGACAATGACTCCCTTTTTCCAGGGCTTTAAAAAGCAATTGCTCATTGCCCACTGCCCAGGCCATGGGACAGCAGCCCATAGAGTGCTAAGATTCCTGACACAAGATCCATTTAGGCATTTTTCTAGGGACCAAAGAAGAAGGGATAAGGCAGGGGGCAGGTGTTGGGGGATCCAACCCTATATGTCAGGCCATAATGAAATCTCTTTTTGTCTTTGTTTCCCTATCTCTGTTTCTTTTTTTTCCCTCTCTCTTTTTTCCACCCTCCCCCTTTCTTTCTCTTTGATTCTTTCTGTTGCTGTGTGTTCACTTTGTGTTTCTTTTTTCATTTCTCTCTCTCTCTCTCCTTTACTCTAGGTCTTTGTCTGTCTGTCTTTGTCTCTGTTCCTCTTCGTCTCTCTCAGTTCCCTTTGAGTTTCTATCTCTCTCCATTTTGATGTTTTTCTGTGTATACATGCCCATGTCATACCCTCTCTCTCTGTCACTCCCTTCACAGGCTGGCCACCCCTGGCCTTCTCCAGCCAAGAACAGCTCAGTGGGGCAGGAGCTCCAGAAGCAGTTTCCAGAGGTGCTAGGTGGAGCCCTGGAAACCCACCAAGGAGATGGACTCCCCCTGCTTACCGTCATCGTCACCATCTTTGTCCTGCTGGCCGTCTGTATCGTGGTGGCAGTCCACTTTGGACCAAGGCTGCACCAGGGCCATGCCACTCTCCTCAAAGAACCATCAGCCCCAAAGCCAGATGATGGCATCTACTTCACCCACTGGCGGGCCCTGGACCCTCAGGATATTCATGAAGAAGCCCAGCAGGGAACTTGTACCCCTAACACTTACCCTGCATCAGATGAGCCCAGGCTAAGCATCGATGAAATCACATACCTGTAGGAAGGAGGCTTTGGAATGTTGGCCTGACCTGGTTCAGAACAAAAAACTGGACAGAGAATTAGGGAAGAGGCAAATTGGAGCGGTGTCAGGGCTTCAGAGGATTGTATGTGGACTGAGCTGGAGCTACCCTCTCAACAGAATATTTGGAGAAAAAGCCCTTTTGTGGGCAGAAGAAATAAAAGAAGCTTGAGGAGACTGCTCAGAAATATTCTGCTGTGAGCACACCAGTGCCCAAGACTAACACTTATAAAGCTCTTCTTCAGGCATCACCAGACCTTGAACCTCCTCAGAGTCCCTGCTCCCTCCTTAAACCCAGTCTCCTCCCATTTAGAGTCAAAGTGAGTCCAGCTCGGAGGACTCCACCACCCACACACTCCATGTATGGGTATCACTGGCCTCCTGTAGAGGCCTTTACCCTCAACCTGTGAGGGCCAGACAGGAGACATCAAGGCAAAGAACCAGGGGTCTTGCATTCTCCAAGACTCTTTGGGACTCAAAGAAGGAAGGAAAATCTGTGTCCCGCAGATTAAGGGTATTTTTTTGCTGTCAGAGCACTAGACCCAGGTTGTAGACAACCTCTAAGGCCCTTGCAAGCCCTGAACACCATTTATAATTCCCCAAATTATCTTTGAATGTCCTTACTGACTATCTTGCCTTCCTAAGGTGGGATGGTGGGAGTTTGAGGACTCTCATTTCCTCCCACTTTCTGTGTCCATGAGCCTGGTGGAACCAGGCTAGAATTTGTTGTTGTTAGGTGCTGTGGAGTTGGCTCTGACTTGTAGCGACCTATGTACAACAGAATGAAACACTGCCCGGTCATGTGCCATCCTCACAATCCTTGCTATACTTGAGCCCATCATTGCAGCCACTGTGTCAATCCATCTCATTGAGGGTCTTCCTCTTTTTTGCTGACCCTCCACTTTACCAAGCATGACATCCTTCTCTAAGGAATGGTCCCTTCTGACAACATAACCAAAGTAAGTGAGACAAAGTCTGGCCTAGAATTTGCCGCAGGACATTTCCCAGACCCAGAACCTTCCAGCTGGTGGGAAAACCAGAAAGGAAAAGGGCTCCATGGAGCTTGTTTGGGGAAGGAAGGAGAGAGGAGACCACAATGGGGAGGGCCATAGGGATATACAGCAGGGAGGTTGGGAAGAGGCAGCAGGCCAGGAAGGCAAAGCTGAAACTCTCAGTGGCTCTCTGGCAAGGTGCCCTTTTCCCCGGCACTGCTGAATCCCATTCACATACATTTTAGGAACATGCAGACATTTATGGAGGGATTTTGGGTGTTTTACCTTGGGCAACACCTAAAGGCAAGAAATCAACCCTGGCTCCTGCCCTTAGGGAGACCTTGGCACATTCAGGGAGCCTGGGAGATAACCGAAGATGGAAAAGAACAGAGGTGGGGATTGTAGCATGTGCAGAGGACAGGCTTGCCTCCTTTGGAATTGGTGAGAGGCGGCTGTAATGTTATTAGCTGCTGCTCCTTGTGGAACAGCTATTTGCTAGGCACTTTTGTCTGTGAACCTAGACACGTCCTAATTTCTCCTCACAACAACCTTGAGAAAAGGGGCCATTGTTATCCCCATTTTATAGTCAGGGAAACAGGCTTTTCAAGATTCCCAGGTAGAGATATTATATAGCAGATTCAGAATTTGAACCTGAACACCACGATGATGGGAAAGGGAAGGTCACACTGGGGAAGCCCTTGATTCTAGGCTGGTTTCTAGGTGTGATGATGGAGGATCCTTGGGCTTTGGGGGCAGGATGGCTGGGACAGTTGAGGAGAAGAGGGGACTTTTTTTTTTTTGTAATTGTGATTTGGGTGAAAGTTTTCAGAGCAAATTAATTTTCCATACAGCAATTCAGACACATTTTGCCTCATGACACTGACTGCAATTCCCCACAATGTAACAGCTCTCTTCTCACTTCCTCCCTGTAGTTACCTCTTTCCTGTGTTTCCCTTCCCTTGCACCTGCCCCCCAGCTGTCTCCCTGTGCTTACACTGCCCTTCTGTTCTTCCATGATTGATTGCTCCAAGTAGTGTATCTACCTGATGTAAACATTCAGCACATATGCCTGCCTATTATTTAGCTGGAAGCTGCAGGAGTGAGTTCAATTCCAGACCTGAAGGGTAGCTAGGGGCTAGGCCACAGTCTCAGGGGTCTCACCAGACTCTATCAGACCAGCAAACTGGTCTTTTTTTATGATTTTGAGTTTTGTCCCACATCATTCTCTCACTCTATCCAGGATCTCCTGCAGTGATCCCTCTGCAAGTGGTTGGCAGTGGTAGTTGGGCACCATCTAGTTCTTCTGATCTCATGGTCATAAAGGCTGAGAATCACATGGCCTACCAGTCCCTCAGACTAATTGTTTCCATGCATCTTTGGTTTTCTTCATTCTTCTTTGCTCTGGATGAGGAGAGACCCATAATTGCATCTAGATGGCCGCTTGCACCCAGTCACTACTCACCAAAGTAGGATGTGGAGCAATGTTTTTGTGTAGTATGTAATGTCAATTGAGCTTGATGTCTCCTGTGACCATGGTCCCAAGCCCACAGGTCCAACTATTTGCTCTGAGGATGACACTTTTCCTTCTTCATTCCCTTGTCTCTGCCTTTCTGGCAAATGTGTGTCTGTGTCCAGTGTTGCTGTATTCAGAAATGCATACTGAGCATTTGTAATAAAAAACAAAAGTAGGGGGAGTCCAGCCTGGGTAGAACAATGGAACTAGTAGAAAGAGCTGCCTTCCCTCTCAGATGGGGGCTCTTTTCCACCACAGTGTTGTTGCAGTGGCTCAGTTCTAATAAGGATAACAGAGGTATGGTATGGTGGCTGACTATGTTGTCCCAGGCCCCAGGGATATGTGCCGTCTCTCACACAAATCTCCTTTTCCCCTTATCCTTTGCTGACTCTCTCATCTGGGGATATTTATTCAGTGGCCCCTACTCCTTTGAGCAGCCTCTTGCCCAGGTCACAGCTGAGTACCCCATATGGCTTCTGCTATGCTGGTTCTGGCCCAGGCCTTGAGCCCTCCCTGCCCCCCAGGCCTCCTACTGGAGACAGGACACTGAAAGAGTAGGGTAGAGTTGGATATGCTGCCCAACTCTATGCCTGCAGTCCAGCTGGTGGGCTCTGTCCACACTGAATTACAATCACCACTCCACTGCCCTGTACTAGGATGAGGAGGGGTTCAAGGAGGCCTGAATGTGCGAGGGTATTTAGATATTGGGTATAATAACTGCCAATGTCTTATATCAGTCAGAGTCTCAGCAGAAAAAAGGTGGCATACTCACATTGGGTAATCTGAGGTGTTTTTAAAAAAGAGATTATTTAGAAAAAGCAAGGCATGGATAAACCAAGGTGAGACGAGTATTCCAAGATAAGCATCAGTGGGAACAAATACCATCCCTAGGCCTGAAAAGGCAAGGAGAAGAGGCAGTTACTGGAACCTGGAGGTAAACAGGATTATGGAGATGGTCACCCACCAGAAGCTATGACTTTAGGTCCAGAATGCAGAGATCCCACAGCAACCTTGATACTGCAGGCAGAGCCTGAATAACTGCCCCAACTTCATCCTTAACCTTCTATCCATTCTTCTACTCTGCTCCCCACTGAGTGATATGCCAAAAGCCAGAGGGCAAGAGAGCCCCTTGATGCCATCCTGGGCCAGAGGAGGTAAAGAAAGGTGGTGAGTAAGTGTCAAATGGAAGATACTTGCCACATCTCTGAATTTTACTGGTATTTGGAGTTTACAAAAAAAAAAAAAAAAAAAAAACCTTCCATATACTCATAGTCCTCACAACAACCTTGTGATGTAGGAAGGGCAATAATTATAATTCCGTATCATGGATGAAGACACTGAGCCTCAGAGAGGTAAAGAGACTAGCCCAACCAAGGTCATAGGACTCATCTTCAGATGTCAAGTCCAAAGCTCTTCTCCCCATAGCCCCCTGTAAAAGAAAATGGCTCTACTGGACCTTTAGCTGCTCCCCAGTCCAGAATCTTGGAGTTCACTTGAGGTTCAGGCAAGGTGACTCTGGGTCTCAGAAGACATCTGTGCGGAGTGGGAGAGGTTGTTCCAGGCCACTGATGAGAAACTTGGGCTCTTGGGATATGGAGGAAGTACTGGGTGAGGAGATGCTGGGCACCACTGAGGTCCCCACATTGTTCACAGTAACCTCCTCCCTTTCCTCCTGCCGCAGGTGCCGGAGAATTTCCTGGGACAGTGAAAAGCTGCTTCCCTCTGCAGATTCTAGAAAGTGGTGTAGGAAGAGTAAAGTGAGGACTCCACATGTTTCCACTTATATCCATCCAGAGGATTTGCTGGGAAGGCACTCCCCCCTCCCCCCAGCCTTTGGGGCTAGAGTTTCATGGAGTCCTAGAGTTACAAGTGGTTTTAGAGATGACAGAATTACACCTTCTCACTTTTAGAGATAATGCCTAGAGAGGGGCAAAGACCTGTTCAAGGTCACCCAGTGATGGAGTGGCAGAGGCTGCAGCCCCAGTCTCCTGGATGCTACACCTGTGCTCTGTACATCCTGGCCTAGGACTCTTCTGCTTCCCTAGATGAAGTGAGAGGCTACTAGAGCCCAACACTTCAAGTTCCACCCAGGGTACAAGGCCAAAGATCTCAGGAAGCAATCAAGTGTCCCAGGGTGGGAGGTGAGGGCCTCTCCCAGTGAGGAAAGGGGCAGGGCTTGAATGCCCTGACTAATTGGGAAAGCCCAGGGCACACACTGCCCTATTTCCTTCTGATTCCCGGGGAACTCCAGGACACCTGACTTCTCCTACCCTCCAGCCTACCAGCCCCTCACCCTGGTAAACAATGAGACGGCAGTTGTTCTGAGACTCAGGGGCATCTTTCAGAATGTCCTCAAGTGTCCGGCAGAAGAGTTTGGCCTGCTCAAGCCGATCCTCCCGGCTAAAGCCAGCTCGGCCATCCTGTGACATGGCAAACAGGGTCTGCAAGGGGGTGGCATACTCCAGGGCACAGATGCCTGCCTGGAGGAGGTAAGAGGAAGACCAAACTAAGCTAGGGGCTAAGCAGACAGATCCCAGACCCCAGTGGCATGGTCTGGGGCCTCATTTTCTGAGTATGCAGTGAGGGAGATTGCTGTTCTGAGGAGGGCTATGTTGTTTAGTCTGCCGTTTCCTCTGATATCCCCCCTCCCTCCCAAAATTAGGTCTAGGATTGTGCTTTATAGATCCCCCTTTTAAGATCGCAGGGCACGGCCCACAGAGCTCCAGCTGGAAATGGAGTCTGGGAGCTGGGCTCTGAGGTTCCACTCTGGGTTCCTCCCACACATGGGAAACCTTTCAGACATTCTCAGCCTTCATCTAGAGTAGCTTTATGGACAAGAGAATGGTATATTCAGGTTGAAACAGTTCCCTTTGTGGCAGCCTTTCTAAATCTGAGTTTCCTCATCTACAAAGTGGGGATCACAAGAGTTCCTACCCCACAGGTGGTGATGAAGATTCAATGAAATGGTCATATGAAGCATTTGGAATAGTGTCTGGCATGCAGTAAGTGCTCAGTAAATGTTCCTTGCCAACATTATCATCATTCATAGCTGAATTTTACCCAGGCCTGGGACAGATTGGGAAAAGTGAGGCTACCAGAAGGGCAATGAATTTTCATCAGTGCTTGGCTCTGGGCCCAGCGGCCCCACCTCCCTGCATGCTTACCCGCTGTCCATTCTCCAGGAGCTCGTAAACACTGTTGGTGTAGACCCGACCCTTGATACCAGCACGGTCAGCACTCTGCTGGGGCAGCTCATGTAGGAAACGAATGTTGGGGTCAGCCACTGTCAGGTCATCAGGCACCCCACAGTCCAACGGGAAGAGGATGTGTAGCCGCCGGCTCCCTATGCTCTGTAGCGTGTTGTTGTGGCGCAGATTATAGATTTGGATTCGAGCCTGGAGCCCTGGAGTAGGAGGGCCCAAGAGCAGAAGAGAATTCATTCCCACTAATCCTGTCTCCCACCTGACCCAGGACAGAGACTCAGGTCATTGGTCCTGTCAGTGTGTGGGTAAAGGGGAACTGAGAGGCCAGTCCATTCTTATTATATAAGAGACCTTATACCTTAAACCAAAAATATCCCCTGAAGGACATCAAGCTCAATTGGCATAACATGCTATACAAAACATTGTTCCACCTCCTACTTTGGTGAGTAGCGAATGGGATCTTAAAAGCTAGCAAGCTGCCATCTAGATGCAACGATGGGTCTTTCCTCATCAAGAGCAAAGAAGAAAGAAGAAAACCAAAATTAATGGAAACAATCAGTCCCCACGACTGGTACACCATCCGATCTGCAACCTATACAACTACGAGACCAGAAGAACTAGATGGTGCCCAGCTACCACTGTCATCCACTTGGAAGGGATGTAGGAGATCCTGGATAGAGAGGGAGAACAATGTGGAACAAAACTCAAAATCATTTGGAGGGAAAAAAAAAAAAAAAAGGGATGGTTGGGACCAGGTTTGCTGGTCCAATAGAGCCTGGTGGAACCACTGAGGCTATGGCCCCTAGCTGCCCTTCAGGTCTGGAATTGAACCCACACCTGTGGTTTCCAGCCAAACAAAGTACAGGCATGTGAGTTGAACATTTACCTCAAGTAGACACACGCCCTGGAGAGAACAATCATGGGAGAAGGAAGGGCTGCTTATGCACAGGGAGACAGCTCAGGGGGCAGGAGAGTATGGAGGGATGGACACTGGGAAGTGGTAACTATGGGGAGGAAGTGGGAGGGGAGCTGTTGCATTGTGGTAAACTGTGGTCAATGACATGAGACAAAGTATATGTGAACTGCTGTATGGAGAGTGAATTTGCTCTGTAAATCTTCACCCAAATCACAATTAAAAAAAAAAAAAAATCCCCTGAAGTCTTTAAAATAAACAGTAGTTTAGTAAAGAATGTCTGCCGCAAGCACCGTGCTCCTTTAAGAACTCTATATGGGATTAAATTGACAGCAGCAACTTGGAAAGATTAGATAGGAAGTTTAGAGGGCAGTAAATTTAAATTAATTGGGGGAAGAACCATTTGGAAAAGGATGGTGAAAACAGTTGCACAACTTAAAATAATCAAAGCCACTGAATTGTACAGGTAGAAATTATTGGATTGGTGCATGTTCTGCTGCGCATATTCTCATCAACAATGAAAAGAGGCCGGGGGGCAGAGCATTTTCACCACCCTTCTCCCTGCCAAAGAAGCTCTTCCCCCCTCACATCTCCTTCCCCCGGATTTCTGTGTCAGCACCACTCTTTCTGCCACAGCCTTCAGAGGCAGGCAGAGCCTGGGGAGGTGACATTCCCAGGTGCACAGGGCCAGACCTCTAGCCTCAGACCTGTTTCCTAATAGAAGCCCTGGTGATCAAGAGAAGATAGCAGTGAGGGCTGGAAGAGCCACAGCCTTGTCCTGCGAGTTAGAGGACTGAGACATGGGATGATTAAAGGTCCAAGCTCTGGAACATCCTGGGTTCAAATCCTGTCTTCTCTCACTGAGTATAAGTGAGACACACACATAGCTGCATGACTTGGGACAAGTTATTTTTCCTTTTGAAACTGCAATTTTCTTATCTGTAAGCTAGGGTTGTGATTATCCCTCCACAGAGTGTAAATTTAAAGAGAAAATATACATGGAGGATACAAAGTGTACAGCAGATAATAATGGAAAAATTTTTTGGGTGACGTTGAGCAAGTCATGACTTGAACCCCTATTCCTTACTGTAAGCCAGGTACAATAATAACACCCTTCATTACCACAGGGATGCTTTGAGAATCAAACGCTCTGGTTGACATGAAAATGCTTTGAAAAATATGGTGAGTTCTAGAAGCACAAGAGGCTGTGTATCTTACCATCTGTCTGATAGATCTAGAAATGAGGTGGGGAGAATGACCCACCTGGCAGGATCAACCGAAGGTACCCGATGTAGTATGACCATGCCAGCCCGTGGGCCACGTTGAAATTCCTTTTTTCACAGACTGCAGAGATCTCAGCTGGTGTCAGGCCCTATGAACAGTAGGGTAGGCCTGGACCTCCATAAAGGACACCCAGAGCCCTCTTCTTCCAAAAAGGCTTCCCAACCTTCTCCCAACCTGCTCCCTTCTCTGCCATCAAAGAACCTGCTATTCCAGGACTCTGTTCCAAGAACTATAGCCCTTAAATTCGTCCCAGAGCTTGCCTGCCCCCAGTCCCAGTACTGAGCTCCATGCAAGTCATGTGAGCCACAGCCTCCACTTTGCTAGACCCTCCTTTAGCTGAGTCATACCTGGAGGCTCAGGAGGATGTTCATTGCCTGCAAGAGACCGAGGAGGGCAAGCATCCAAGTGAGGGGCAGGTCAGCCATGTTTGGGAGGAAGAAGTAGAAATAGCAGGACAGCAGCAGCAGGGTTCCACGGCGGATAGGGCAGCCCATGCAGGCCCGCACAGCCTTCCAGTAGCTGCCCTGGTACCTGAAGATGACAGCCAAGCCCCAGACCCCAGCTCAGATCAGTCAGAGTTCAAGGAGGGGCAAGGATAGGGGTCAAGGGGGTGACACATGTTGGGTGCCCAACACCACCATGGCTGCAAAGTCACCTGGAGTGGATGTGACACAGCTCCTCAGCCAGACTGCAGACCCCCTTTACCAATAGCGCCAGCTGCAGGGAGGCTAGGTGGAACGCCAGCCAGTGGAGAGTATGGTCTGGTGGATCCCCTAGCCCCCAAAGGGCCACTAGGCAGACACTCAGCAGGACCAAGGCTGCTTTCTGGATGCCATGACCCCTGTGCCGTGGGATGGATGGATGCAGGCTGGAGTAGGGCATCTGTGGGCACCAAGAAATCCATTCACACTCCTGCCCTCCAGGACCAAGGTCCTGGCTGGGCACCTTCCCCCTACCTCTCCCTTTCTTTGGTGCCCACCCATACCCAGCAGCTGGTCCTGGAGACACCACCAGTAGACCAGGTGTGGGCACACACCATCCCAGAGCTCCTGTCCAGGAGAGGTTTAGAGAAAGCAGGGCAAGTGGAGAAGCAGACATGCTCCACTGAACTCCCAGTAAGACCACAGATGTGGTGAAGAAAGAAGGCAGGGACTGCCCCAGTCCCAGACCTGAAAGTCCTATGCAGGCCCTCCTATCTACCCAGGCACCCTTGGAGCTAGGGCACTCCTCCCCTGGAACCCCACTCAGGAAAGACCTTAGCAAACTGAGAACCAGAATTCAGGAAGACGGGGTAAGGCAGCCAGAAGCTACCCCCTCTTCCCCCAAACATACTCCTTCAAGTTCCAGCTGAATAACCCAGTCTTACCTCTATCTTCTTGACCACAGGCTGTTCCTGGACAAATTACAGGAGGGAAGGCTGGGTTCAACAGCTCCCAGAGACAACAGACAGCTTCTCTAGGCGCAGACTGAAAATGAAACCTTAAAATAAATTGAAGTTTTCCTCATAACACTGCAGCCTGGTATGTCACCAGACCAAAGCTTTGGGTGTGATGGGGAAGGGGACACTTCCTGCTCCCAGAGAGAGAGGAAGGGCCCTTACCCACAAGGCCTGTTGACCTGTGCCTGAGCCCTCCTTGGGTTTCCAAGGCAGTATCTCTACAGAAGCAGATTGCCCAGTCTTCCTTCTGAGGAGTGGCTGGTGGATTTGAACTGCCATTTTCAAGGTATAACGCTTTTAAATGCTCAAATTCCACTCTCTTTTGCAGCCCCAGAGGCTTATCTAAGGCATGGCAAGTATGCTTGTGCCCTGGGCACCACTGAGGAGGCGCGCCAGTGAGGAGTTTCTATTTGCCAGTTCCACCGCCAGCTGTAAGGAAACATTCAGCAATTTAAAACCAATTGCTGTAGGCATAGGTGCTATTTTCCACGTCTCTGGCTACCCTAAAATTGGGAGTATTAAGAAACTCCTTCACACTCACCTGTACTCACAACCGTGAACACCATGCTCCCCTCAACTCCAAACTCCACAAACTCCACAAGCAGAACTCCCCGTGCCCAACCACAAGATGCTGTTCTTTCTGATAATTTTTATTTTGATTTCCAGATGCTCATCCTCTTTTTCTAAAGACTGACGTCAGGAAAAAGGCGGGTGAAATGAACAAAGGAATTTCCTGTAACCAGAGCCTTTCAAGAAAAGAGCTTGGTGGTAGCAGGTTTGCAGAAGAGTGAGGCTTTAGCTCTTTGAGGAAGTAGCTGTGTCTGTGACTTCTCAGAGAATTTGGTGGTTCCAGCCAAAACAGCTGTCGCATGGATCATCATAATAATAAAGTGCTTACCGTACTCCAGACACCATGCCAAGTGTTTACACATATTATTTCATTTAACACTCTGACAGCCACTTTGTCTGGTAGGTATATTATCCCCATTTTACAGATGGGTTATCTGAGGCTCAGTGAGGTAAAGTTACTTGTCCAAGGTCCCATAGCTAGTAAGTGAAGACATGTGGGTTTCTCTAAAAACCCAGTTTGCTCTGCACCCTGATTTCAGGGAGAGGGTGAGAGGAGCCAGGATCAAGTTTCTTGCTTACAGTTACCCTGGGGGACAGAGTGGGGAGGTGGTATCTTTACTTGCTCCCTGGCAAACTGATAAGCTGATTCAAGGGCAGGGACAGTCCTGGAGAGGGGGGCTGAGGTGACCCCCAAAGAAAGTAAGCAGTATAGTTCATAACTACCCAAGTCAGAGGGTTCTTGCCTGGACTCTTCCCCACATTGAAACCAGAAACTGGAAGACACACAACATTCATAGATGCCACTGTCTTCCCAGGAGCAATGAGGCTTCCTGGAAAATCCCTTTTTCTTTGAAATAATGTCCTAAGAATGCAGGGAATTCCCTACACTTTTTCTCCTCTACAGTTTTTCCCTGAGGTAGACAAAGGCTTGTTGTTGTTGTTGTTATGTGCTGTTGAATTAGACCCGACTCATAACGACCCCTCCTTGGGTTTCCAAGGTGGTATCTCTACAGAAGCAGATTGCCCAGTCTTCCTTCCAACGAATGGCTGGTGGATTTGAACTGCCAGCCTTCTGGTTAACAGTCAAATACCTTAGGCACTATGCCACCATCAGTAGCCCAAGGCCTATTCCTGCAAGGCCAGACATGCTGCCTCCTTCCAGCCCTTTCACCAACCCTGACACCAACCGTTCCTCCTGCTGCACTCACCACCTTTCTCCTGGGTTTGATAATTCACTGCAGTGGCCACACAGAACTCACAGATTATGGGGTTTATTAGAGAAGCACCAGGTTACAATTCAAGTTCAGGAAAAACGCTCAGTCTCTCTCAGCCCGCTATCTCTCACCCAACAGTCTCTCACAGTCTCTCTCCCAGAAGTGTGTGTCCCTCAGTGTCTCCTTCAGCAATGCATGTCTCTTGTGTCTCTTTCCCAGCAGTGCATGTCTCTCAGGAGCGTGTCTCTCAGGAGCGCGTTTCTCTCAGGAGTGCATTTCTTCTCAGAAGCACATCCTTCTCAGCCAGCAGTCAGAGAGACTTCTGCCTCTAGGAGGCCTCCTTTTGAGCCCGGAAGAGTGGCCAAACTAACCAATCATAACATCAGAATTCTAAGCACCTGAGAGACAGCAAACTTCCCAGAACATTGCTTTGTGCCACGCCCAACAGAAATACCGCAGGTGGTTAACTTTTACAATCAGGAGCTCCTCAGTTGCTCACAGCAAATTTCACCACGGCGTTTACAAAGACTTTTGGCTAGAAAAGCCATATCAGGTAATTTATTACACCGCAATGGGTGTTGACTGTTGATGCAAGTAAAATGAAATCCCTGAGAACTTCAATCTTTTCTTCATTTATCATGATGTTTCTTATTGGTCCAGTTGTAAAGATTTTTGTTTTCTTTATGTTGAGGTGTAATCCATACTGAAGACTATAGTCTTTGATCTTCATTAGTAAGTGCTTCAAGTCATCTTCACCTTAAGCAGGTAAGCTTGTGTCATCTGCATATCACAGGTTGTTAATGAGTCTTCCTCCAATCCTGATGTTATGTTCTTCTTCATCTAGTCCAACTTCTCAGATTATTTGCTCAGATAAAAGATTGACTAAGTATGGTGAAAGGATACAATCTTGATGTACACCCTTCCTGATTTTAAACCATGCAACATCCCTTTGTTCTGTTCAAACAACAGCCTCTTGGTCTTTGTACAGGTTCCTTCTGAGAACAATTAAGGATTCTAGAATTCCCATTCTTCCCAGTATTATCCATAATTTGTTATGATCCACACAGCCAATTCCTTTGCATAGTCAATAAAACACAGGTAGGCATCTGTTCTGGTTATCTCTGTGCTGCTCTAACAGAAGATACTACAAGTGGGATGGCCTTAACAAAAAGGAGTTTATTCTTACAATTTGGAGGCTTTAAGTCCAAGTCCAAAGTGCCGGGCTCTAGGGGCTAGGTGAAAGCTCCTCAACCTTGGAGTTCAGCTGTGTCTCCTGCTCCCAGCCCACTGGGCCTAGAGGCTTTTATTCACTCAGACAGCTGCTGGCTGCTGAGGCTGACAAGCCCAAGGTTGACAAGTAAAAAGGCACATTCCCAATGTTACCAAACCACATGGTAGGCCATTAATTTAAGTCCATTGAAAGTCCTAAGGTCAGCAGAGCATAGCGGGCTGCTGAACAAAGACACAGCTACATCCAGGGTTCAAGCATGCCATAAGCTAAAGACCATTCCCAAAGCTGCTTCTTATATATGGGAAGCAGAAGACATCCCTAAAGCAGCTTCTCAGCTGCTTGTGGTAGATCCCACCATGGACTTGATTGCCATTCTCATCACAGGGAATAACTACCACCAACTGCCCAGCCACTTAACCAGGCCCAGTCAAGTTGACACACAAACTAAACCACCACAATTTCACCCCTTGTCAACTTGGCACCTGTACAGATCTTCAATGGGTGGCATCTGTACAGATCTCCTTCACTGGGTGACTCCAGTCCCCTAGGTCCTGAGTGGCGACCTCATCCCACCAGACAAAGAACCACAACCAGCTGAGGTGCTTGCTGAGGGCAAGGGAAATATGCAATGGGTGGTGGAAGAAGGTAGTTCTGAATATCAGCTACCACCTTGTGACCAGCTGCAGAAACAAGGACTGTGATTGTTATATTTCTTCATTGTATATGTGCATCAAATATTTTTGTTTCCTTCTGTTACGAACTGTGAAATGTAAATAAAATTAATACGTTTCGGTTGTATGCATGTTAGTGTACCATGTTAGGTGCAAATAAGACTTTATTATTGTCCTTATTTAGAGATTATATATGGTTAAGAAGATGTGTACAACTGCCAAGTTGACAAGGGGTGGACTGTGATAGTTGGAGCTGCATGTCATCTTGGCTGGACCACAATTCTGTGTGGTTTAAACAATTGTAATGTGGGTTATTCCCATGATGGGATCGGATATATATGTTTTGAGCAGCCAATCCATTGAAAGGGAGTTTCCCTAGGGGTGTGGCCTGCTTCCAATATATTTATGGACATGCTGGGAAAAAAGACACTCTCCTGTTGATCGGTATTCTGTTGTGCTGCCTACAACTGTCTGTGAGCAAACAATCCACCATTTGGCCTGGAGATCTTGGGATTCGTCATTCATTGGAGTCAACAGCCAGTATATTGCCTGCCAACCTTGAGCTCATCAGCCCTTGCAGCTGCATGAGTCAGGAAAAGCTTCCAGCTTGACGTTTGATCCAAGAACTTGGGACTTGGCAGCTTCTATAAGTGTGTGAGCCATTTTCCTAAGATAAATTTCTCTTTTCTGTATGTATATATAAGCTTTACTGGTTTTGCTTCTCTAGGGAACCCAACCTAACACAGCATATTTCTGAT